GTGCGTTAAAGTTGGTGCGCGGCTCACTAGAAACCGACAAGAGCCAGAAGTCTGGCCGCTGGATGCCCATTGAGAGACGTGATGGTCACGTCTAGGCGCGTCGTTCGTGAGCAGCGTGGATACGAACATCGCAGCGGTAGTAGCAACTGAACAATAATGGGGTCAAGATACAGGAGACCCCTGTGGAGATCTGACTGCGATGTTCATCAAGTTGGAGATGGTGGTTTCGGGCTGACCAGTCTGCCAGAGTGGAAGAGAGCCATTCGCAGACGGGACGGACACGGGTCGCGATACACCCGCCATCATTGTGCGGTACACATACCCATGTCACGGAACAACGGCCCCTGCGATCCGCTAACCGTGAATCCGGTCCTCGCGGCCCGGCCCCCGTGACCCATCGGGCGGCGCAGCGCAGTTCCGCTTATTCTGGCAGCTGGCCATGTTCGCCATCCGCTCGAGCCGGGGGCTTCCTCCCTTTCGATCCCTCGCGACACTCTCACCTGCTCAAGTCAACGCCGCGACTCAGAGTCCGTATCGGGTCTTCGACAGACAGGCCAAACGCTTGCAAAAAGACCGTGCAGCGGCCCGCGATGGGGGGAATCGTAGTAGAACCGTTGACTACGTGCGCGATGAGGTGGCCAACAGGATGATAGAGAGGTTTTTGGCAAGTATATGTTCTGTTTCGGAAAGCCCTCGTATCACTTGGCTGAGACACGGTCCCAGGACATCAAGAGAAAGTTCTCTTCTGTCCTTGACCTCGGATCTGGTCCTGGCCATTTCTCCAAATTGCTCGAATTGGATCGGGCGCAGAAAGTGACGATGCTGGATCTGAGCAGTAAGGAGTGACAGCAGACTCTAGCACTTTTCATCCAAACTTCTCTCAGAACGTTCTCTTGAAAGAGACCCAGACTCTGAGTTCGAGGGTGTGTGTCTCTCACAGACTTGTGCGTTTCGTGCATCTGGCTGACTGGGAAAACAGTCCAGGTCGAGAGGCTAGTCGCTGATGAGGAGAAACTGTTGGGTATAGTCCCACGAAACTCCCAGGAGGCGATAGTGTCATGTCTTAGCCTTCATTGGGTCAACGATCTACTAGGTAGGCTGATGTGACCCCGAACGCCGCAAATTGACGAGATAGTCTGCAGGCGTTCTGGTACAGATCAAGGAAGCCTTACAACCTGATGGCGTTTTCGTCGGGGCCCTCCTGGGAGGCGACACGCTCTTTGAGCTGCGCACCGCTCTTCAGCTCGCAGAAATGGAAAGAGAAGGCGGGATTTCCCCTCACGTATCACCAATGGCAGGCGCGTTGCATCATTCTCCGACCGAGCTTTTACCTATAACCGCTAGTGCAGAACCTCGTGACATGTCAAATCTTATGAGCCGTGCTGGCTTCACACTTCTCACCGTGGATGTTGACGAAGTCAGCGTAGGATACCCAAGTATGTGGGAGCTCCTAGAAGATCTCAGGGACATGGGCGAGAATAACGCCATCATCGGACGGTGCGCAGTGCGTAATTGGTGCTATTGCGCAATACTCATGATAGATTCAAGTCGACATTTATTGCATAGAGACACACTAGCCGCCGCATCGGCGATATACAAAGGTAGGTCAAAGTCATTAGGTCAAAAGTACGCTAACCATCCGGACGTACAGAGCTTCATGGACAAGAGGATGGCACAATACCGGCTACGTTCCAGGTCATCTACCTTGTCAGCTATTTTCATTCCTGCAGCCTCTTCGCCTCACTCACAGTGCAAGTGTAGATTGGATGGAAACCCGCGCCGCAGCAGCCTAAGCCATTGGAAAGAGGTTCGGGAAAAACAAATCTCAAAGATGTTCTCGAATGAGATTATGCCGCTCCTTCCACTGCCGTGTTATCCTCGCTCTTCCCTTCAGGTCCTTCGTGCCCAACGCTATCTTGGAATTTCCGCCTTGGGATCACCGCATATAATGACTGCTCCCAGTCTCTTGTCTCCACCCATTTGACAAGAATCTCGAATACCTGATTCACTGTGAGCACTTTTCTCGTTGCCAAATGCGATAGATATCTCCCGATGGGAAGCTGGGCCGCACGGACACCGGATTCCTTGGCTTTGTCTAAGCAAAGATTCTGCAAAGCCTTCACATGAAGGAAAACCCGTCGCCAATATAGCCTGCGTACCTTATACCGATTATGATCACAAATACCACCAATAATATAAGTCTCCCCTTCCTTCAATTCCTCCAGGACGTCGCTCGAGTCTGCAGTGAGATAAACCACGCAATCCCGAGACACCGGAGTCGCGAGCAACTTTTCTTGCTTGTTGCTATCTTCATTGTCTTTGGTACGATCTTCTTCACCTGCGGTCTCTCGAGGACGATCGCTGTCCCCTAGATCAGACTGTCCTGAAGTTTGAGCCCAGAGGTTATCATAACCTTCGGTCCACCATTCTGTTCCAGTCCAGCGTTTATATCCTCCATCGTTGAGTTTCTCGAGTCGAGCTAGCGTTCGACCATTGAGCGAGGTGAAGAGAAGTGATCGGAAAGGGTTTGACGAGTGTCGATTAGCGCTGTAGACGTAGGCTAATTGCGAACATAATGAAGTTATTTCCTAAGGTGACCGAAGATGTCGCGACGTGAAGTGGAATCCAGAGACAGACCTTACCTTGTCACTCATTTTGTCATCGAACGCCAGGTCCAAGACGACCCTTGCGGCGAACGGTTCTTTTGCGCGACTCAGTTTCGCTCGCTTTTCCGTCCTCTCGTCCTCTGACAGCTGCTCTCCTGTGGCGATCCTCTCCGCCCTTCTTCTCTTCTTTTCCTTCTTCGCCGCTTTCTCCTTCGCGCGCCTTTCGAGCTTTCGCTCTTCCAGCCGCGCCATTTTAAGCGCCCTCTTTTGCGCCTTTTTTGAGAGCACTACGACCTCCGAAGTAGCTTCGATTGAATTCGGGAGTTGAGAAGAGGGCCCTGGATCATTTTCCATAGCGGTCGGGTCAAAAGATTGATATGGGGAAGATCAAAGGCAGACTGGCGGAACGGAGCGTGAGAAGATGTCCTCGGGGCTCATCTTTAGAGCAACACGCATCTTAATAAGGGGGAAACACCGCGACGTCTCAGCTATGTCTGGAACTCCACTCATACTCGAGCCTACCACCAAGCACACAGCAACAGTTATCTTTCTCCACGTTGGTGTCGATGTACCTATGTGTATTCGATGTTCGTTTTAATGAGACGACTGTCAGGGTTTGGGTGATACAGGACACGGGTGGAGCGATCCTGTGTCAGCCTTTGGACGTGACCCCGCCCTATCCCATGTCAAGTGGATCTTACCTCACGCGTAAGCCATCGGTCTCGAGGGACTTTCCTTGTTCCACTCTAATCTTGCAATCCCAGTCCAACCGAGTCTGTCACTGCAAACTTCGGCATGCGTATGCCAGCATGGTACATATAGTCTTTTTTGCAAAATGTTTTAAGCTTATCGGTCACCACCTGTACCATCGGGTTTGCATTTTTCAGGTTCGACATCAGGAGTTTCGATTTTAATTCCGACGAAGACGAAAGCGGCATGCTGAGAACGGTATCGTCGGTCAACCAGCTCGTCTCTGCAGAAGTCGATTCCGGCATTAATCCTGGCAGAATTGTGATCGGCGGCTTCAGCCAAGGAGCCGCGATGAGCATACTCACTGGCCTCACCAATGAACGCAAGTTGGCGGGTATCGTCTCTCTGAGCGGTTGGGTAGTTCTAAGGCATAAATTCAAAGCGGTGAGCGAGCTTCGCATCCTTGGGCAAACCTTCTGACTCAACTGCTTCTAGATGTCTTCTCCAAACGCGTCGTCAATACCGGTCTTTTGGGGTCACGGCACTGCTGACCCTCTCGTTACGTTCCAGATTGGCAAAACTTCAGTAGAATTTTTAAAGACAAACATAGGTCTCTCCGCTGTGACTTCTGATGCACCTGATGCTGCAGCATTGAAGGGTGTCATGTTCAAGGAATATCCCGGGTTACAGCACGGAGCCTCACCGCGAGAGCTCGTCGACTTGAAGGAGTGGCTCAAAAAGATACTCCCAAAAGCTTCGTAGTGGCGGACGACTACGTCCTGTCCTCTGATTTCTCACAGGCAGATGGTTCACATGAGTGGTGGCAGATACTACATGGAGTACGAAGCGAGCGGTTGAGCCGTTCATTTAGTCCGTCCTGAGACATGTATCCTCCTACTGTCACCGTAATGTAAAGTCACCGGGCGACAGTGATTCATGCCCTATCTTTGCTTGACCTTGCGGCATTTGGCCGATGCCACGGGCAGATCTCGATTGTCCGTCTTGGCCGCCGCTCTCACCGTTCGTCTCCCTCGCCCAGCGCTGATCACTTGTTTCCCTCAGCTTCCTCATATCTCGCGTCTGGACGTGAGATGTGGACTTCACTACATAAAGCAAAAATACGTTGAACACCAGCAGGATTTGAACCTGCACTCCCAAGATACAGATTTCTTGTCTGCTGCCGAACCATTCGGTCGTAGTATCTTGTGTATAGTGGAGAGGGGATGTACTATGAACAACGGACAGCAGTCTTTAAACACCTCATCTTGAGCGTTCTTGCGGTTAGAAAGTCAACATCTTCATTAAAGATAGGAAAGCTACTAGTACTATTTACAAGTTCTCATTGACAATCACAAGCGGGATATCTCTCCACAAATAATTAGTATACTGGCGATGTTGGGCGCGCAGTCCAACTACCGGTCATCAGGAATTTGGTAAAAGCTTTTGACTGGTGAACTTTTTCAAAAAAAGGAGGGTTTTATTTTACCAATGAATTTTTTATTCTACGTTCCTCTTTGGCTTTTTACATTTTTTTTTTCACATTTTTTCCCTGGTTCAAGCTTCTCGTGAGCTGGTATCAGTGAAAAAAGTTTTATGCAGGAATGCCGATGGTGACTGGACCGGCTGCTTTCAGTTCGGCAGAGCACGGTACCTCCCGAGAGAAGATAACTTGAAGGGTGTCTAATATAAAGCAAAATGAAGTCGAAACACCAGCAGGATTCGAACCTGCACTCCCAAAGATGGGCAGATTTCTTTTTTTGCCTTCTCGGAGGGAAACAAATTTCTTGTCTGTTACCAAACCACTTGGTTATGGTGTCTTGTGTAGAGTAGAGAGGGGATATAGTACTACGAACAAAGGACAGGGCCCAGCAGATTTCAAATGCCTGATCTTGAGCATTCTTGCAGTTCGAAAGTCAATATCTCACAAGCAAGCCACTGTCCACAGGCTTCTTCCATCGACGACTCGGATCGCCGACAGTGTATTTCTCCTCACAGAGCAGTAAACACCTGCAATGTCTGAGGTACAGCCGCAACCTCGACGGACATACCGCTCGCTGGTGCTAGACTTAAGGGGATTATCTACATGAGTACTATATGCTCCCACTCCCTTTTCAGCCTCTACTTCCATGACAACTACCTTTTGGATAACAGGGACCATAATCATCGACTTCAGAATGTGTACTGCTTGCAAGTTTCTTAGACTATCAGTAGCATCGAGTAAAGCGCCTATATCAAGGTGCTGGATTGGATTGGTGCGATGCAAAGACAAGCGCTTTGTTTTTATGTATACCAGTTAGCCTCGCACCGATACCATTATTTTCTCACCGCATCATGAGGTCACTCATATAAACATAAACGGCATGCATTGGAAACGGCTAATGCAGAAGACAGAATAAACATAGTGAAGATTGCGGGCATCTTTATTGAACCTGCAATGAGACGGCGATGCCCATTGATGCCAGTTCCGCGCACAAATACCGGAACACGAATGGCACTGCGACGATATCCAACTCGCTACCTTTGACTTGCTCCCTTAGAACATGATCGGATAGGATTGCGATCGCGATGTCCCCATTACTACCAGGAACAATATTTTGCCGTTGGATATTCCCACCTCGCGGATCGCGGTCGTTGGCATTATCCCGACATAATCGACAGTATTCACCTCCCGGGCTGGCCAATTTTGATGTTTCAGCGTTGAGCATGCCGTCGTCGTAACCAAGTGCGATTATGCTACCGCAGGTTCGACATACCCAGGTTGTTGAGTAGTCGGAGCAATTCATCAGCCGGTCTTGGAGTAAAAAGGAGGTCCCGTGGGCGATGAGTGCGTCACGCTCCATTTCTCCAAAGCGGATACCACCAGCACGTTTCCGACCCTAAAGGATATGACCGGTGTGAGCGACAGAAGTGAGCGTACATTGTCGTGTCCCTCACCTTAACAGGTTGTCGTGTCAGAGGATCAACAGGGCCAGTAGTCCGTACTTGAAATTTGTCAAGTACCATGTGCCGCAGTCGCTGATAATAGACCACCCCAAAGTAGATATCTGCAGCAAATTCTTGACCTGTGATCCCCGAATACATTGGTTCATTTCCATAGTAATTGTATCCGGCAGCTCGAAGCTGCTTTCCGAAGTAATCTATCGCGGTGTCTGATTCAGAGAACCTGTCACAACAATCGGAACATCAGATATGGTAGATTGTAAATTCCACGAACGTGAAAGGTGTGGCATCCTGTGCTAGGCCGTGCATCGCACCAGCTTTCCCGGCCATGCTCTCGACCAACATCCCGATGGTCATGCGACTAGGGAAAGCATGTGGGTTGATAATGATATCCGGCTGCATTCCGCTCTCGCTAAAGGGCATGTCAATCATTGGCCATTTTTGGGAACAGACACCTTTCTGTCCGTGCCGGGACGAGAATTTGTCACCAATTGCAGGAGAACGAGGAATCCTGAAGGTGACATGGACTTTTTGCAGCTCGAAATCACCAGCGTCGGAACCTGCCGGTTAACTGTCGAGTCACCACAATGGAAGAAAAAGGAATGGCAAGAAGACGCACCAAGAAGGCGAACTTGGTCAACATATCCGGTTTCGTCGCCTTTGTACTTCACAAAGCATGTTCGTCCCGTAGTATCGTCGACGTAGGCGGCGATGGGATCACCCGATACTAGCCGGGTTCCGATGAAGGGGAGACCATCTATATCGAGAAACTGGCAGCACGGATGCTGTTTCTCCCCTGGTGCTAGTCGTATGTCCTGCCCAAGCCCAAAATGCAGCGTAGGTGCAGAAACAGACTTTGATGCTCCGCGAGTCTCTTTCAGATCAACAATTTGAGACTTGTACACAGTTCCGTAACCGAACCCGCGTTCGTGCGCAGATTTGTTCAATATCATAGCATCCTCCATATCGTAGCCTGTATAAGAGATGACGGCGACGATCGCATTGGTCCCATTCGGGAAAGAGTCCATGGCATAGGTGTTGTGCAACTTGGGTCGAACCAAGGGTGATTGCCCATATTGTAACCGATAAAGTTTGTTATCCGTACGATGGTTCAGCGAGGTCGACGGTGTTCCCATCGTCTGTTTACCCATCTATCGAACGTCGAGTGTGTTGAGTTTCACGAGATAACGGACGACGTACCTGACACTGGTAAATGTTACGGGGACTCTGATTGAAGTCAGAAAACGGTGTCATGTTCGCCAAGATTGAGAGAAAGTTTGTCGGTGCATGTTCGACGTGTGTTGAGATTGTGGGTTCTATCTCATTGGGTGATACTGCGATGTCCACATATACCTGTTCAAAGGACCCAATCTGGTCGTCCTTTCCATTGACGATGTATTTGACAGGGCGCATCATACGCGAGCGCGATGCAAAGAGGAACAACCCGGGGTACTGCCCGCCCTCAGATGGTAGGACAAGACCAATTTCCAGATCTAAGGGGATGTCATGAATACCTTCCGTCTTCCATATTCGCAGAGTTGTGGCAAGACTTTTAGCAACAGATGGTTTCGCCCATCCGATAATGCGACCGTCCAACTGTACGCAAATATTTTGGTTCCCTTTTACAGAAGGCGCGAAAGGATCAGTCATTCCTTGTGCAACAAGCAAAGCAGGGATGCGAGAGGTAGCAAGAGGGGAGGTGACGATGCGACACTGGCGAGAAAGATGGTTGAGTAGACCACATGGAGTGCCATCAGGTGTATGGACAGGACACAAGAAACCTGGAAACGCTTTAATCCAACGCAAAGAACTCATCAGGAGAATAACTCAACCCCACGCCTCGGGAAGCAACTTCCGCACAGTGGTTGTCTTGAGCTCTGCAAAAAAGGCGCCTCGGTGGATGCACCTGAAATGGCTAATGTACCGATGCCAATTCAACTTTTCTGCGACAATCGTGAAACCTGCCGCCTGCTGTAGGTCAAGACCTGTCGGTGATACCAGGTTCCCGGTTGCGAGAAAATTTGCCAACCGCGATCCAATATCGAAATTTACGCGTGACAAAACCTTGTGGAGGTATCGGTCTTCAAATAAACATCAGTGCCGTCACGAAAAACAAGTTATGCAATTACCGTCTAAGAAGTCAACGGATGGCTCTTGTTTTCGAACATCTTGGATTATTTGATTGCGAACCTGATTGAGTGCTTCCTCGAGTTTCTCCTTGATAATCATGCCATATAGACTCCCTGGCAAAAGAACTTCTTGATGTTGAGGAGAATCGGGGTTGTCAAAACTGCACGTTTTGGACACGATGGCGTACAACTTCCTTAGCATAAACCTGTTTTTACACGATTAGTGGTGGTCATGAGACGCCAAGAGGGCCCAAAGCGCACAGGAGCATCTTGAACTTGTCTCGAGGTGTCTCAAGATGAACAAGAACGAGTTTTCTGACAAGCCAGGTGCCAACATCCGGGTTTGTCCAATCCTCAGGCAGTCCTAATACAACGCGGAACTTGTCGCCAAGGTAATCCAGACACTGATCACTGCTGTGCAAGCTATATATCTTATAGCTGCGCAACAACAATTCAGCACGGTCTATCAAAAACGTATTTTTATAGTCTTGCATCACGACACCTTCAAAGACTTCCTTGTCTGAGGCCCCGACTAAGGCTTTCAAAAGGAGCATGATAGGTACGACGTATTCTTGTTTTCGCCAACTAAACCGTAACGTAGCGCTACCGTTCGCCAGATAGTGGAGCGTGTTTGTAACACTGGTCTGGTCTGGGCGTACACAACGTATTTGAACGGCATAAGGCGTGTAGGAAGGACCACGACTTTGGAAAGAGGGGCGGTTTAGGGCAATGACGTGATTCCTACGAGGAAGGATGAGATAGCGAATGAGACGTTCATTTCCATTGATAATGAAGTATCCTCCAAATTCTTCGGGTTCTTCATGACGCCTCACGAGTTCCGCAGAAGACAAGGCACGAAGATTGCAGCGAACAGACTGGACGTCATTATCAAGAGCAGATCTGGAGGCGACAGAAAGAGGGAACAGTTACCCGAACCATGATTGGGATTAGACCACAGTCCTTGATAATGGATCGTACTGTTTGACCTGGTTCATCAACCTTCCAGCAGAGTTTCACGGTCATACGTCCACGGTAGGACGTCAGTCTTTCTCTAGCCTGGGAAGGACATGCTTAGCTTCAGGACCAATTATAAAATTACAAATCGATGTTGACGCATAAGATGCCCACCTCGGTAGGGAAGACCTTGCGCTCTATAGCGCGTCGATCTTTGTCGGGTACCATAGGTCGTGCGATGGAAACTTGGTCGATCCAGACTTGTATTTCTCAGTGAGATAAATCATGTAAAATAGCCCAAAATTCTTACTGCTCAACCTGTTTCCCCACACCTTTTGGTTACCCCCGGGCCCAGACTGCCCTGCTCCATCAAAGACCACACGCTCACCAATATCCTGTATTGCTAAGCTGAGGAGACCAAGACCATCCCCATCTCCGAAGGGTAGCCCGGAGTCATCGAAAAGTGCATTGAATGACTCGATATGCGGTGCAACAAACTCGTTCAATATGGGAAAAATAGAACCGCCACTCGGAGGGTTCCTGAAAGCTGACTCGCGAGCCAAAGTGTTGAAGGTATGCTTAGAACCGTCTGGCATATTGCACGGATGGATGTATGCGACCAAAATCGCGGGTCCAAAAAATCATTCACGTAACGCGCACTTTCCAAAACAAGCGGCGTGTTTGAAGCTCCGATTAAATAACTCGGCACGCGAGTCTCGCAGCTTTATGAGGATCGAGCGAACATCTTTTGACATTACCATCGATCTCTTCCTCTGATGTTCGGAAATAGTGGT